GTTGGTCTGCATTAACACTTCCGAAACGCTAGTTGGCAGTGAGGTGTAAATGTTCCTCTGTGTCGAGTTTCTTCACTGCTGTTTTGCTTTTCCTAAACACTTCCGGGATGTACAAGTGGCTCAAACTCGCTCATTTTGAGGCAGGAACCGGCGGACGTGCAACAACTTTAACTATGAGATAAACACAAAACAAAACTTTCCATCCGGAGCTCCTTCACGGGACTCCACACTTGTAAACAATCGTTCCATTGAGCTCGCCCCATTCGCGCGGCTCTCGGTCCCGCCCAGACTCGTCAGCGATACCAAGCCGACCAATCACAGAGCTTGCGCTACGCGTTGTTGCGACGTGTAGTTATATTTTTTGAGAGGTGCACGTCAGTGATGCCGACGGCCACGGCAAAGGGCTATGCATCAACGCCGTAGCATACGCGTGCGTTTGACGCAGAAGTATAAATCAGCCTTTAGGAGAGAAAGACCAACAGTGTTCACGGTCGATTAAATAATGCTAACGTTTTTTTAAAGTCATGCTTAAATGATATTTCAGATCAAAGATTCAAAGTAAATGTTGTCGTGTCACTGTTAAAAAAAGAACAAATGTGTAAATATAAAACTAAACTTACCATTAAGGTGAAGTCGTTGTTTTTTTCGCACATTCATTCATTTTAATGGACCCTATTAGGGCTGCACGACATTGGAAAATTCTGACATTGAAATATTTTGTTTTGCTGCGATATATATTGCGAAACGAGTATAATTCAACAAATGATTAGCATAGCTCTATTTGGAAATTTTTTTTATTAATTTAGATCAACAGAGATGATCAAGTTTTTTTCTATCCAGCGCATCTGCGTAAACAAAATAAATTAAAAGCATATATAAATATGCCAGATCAAAATAAAAGCGAAATAGACAGCACTTTATGGTTTTCTGAGTCTTACCAGCCTGATCTCATAAGGAAATGTACGTATTTTATTGTCAGATTAGTGGCTAATTGGTACGAATTCTTACAAGTTATGAAATTTACAATTTTAAAAAGGTGGTGTGATACCCAACCTTGCTCCTAAGCCCAACCGTCATTGGGGGATAAGCAAATCATATTAAAACGTACAAATGAGATTGTACAAATTAGCCACTAAATCAAAAAGTTACAAATTGGCGTGAGATTGTGTTGGTTTAACAGTATTCAAGTACAGAAATTGAAGAATCAAACATAAAATAACATGGTCATCATGAATCTAATCCTGTGATGTAACTAGGGCTGCACGAAATTGGGAAAATTTAACATTGCAATATTTTTTTTAATTTTGCGATATCTATTGTTATATGAATACAAATTCACCAGATGACTTAACATCTCTATTTGAAAAGAATTTAGTGTTAGATTGATTGGGATGATTCTGCAGTGAGAGTGCATCTCCATAAAATCTAATAAAAAATCATTTAAAATTTTGGGGTCCATTTTCGTTGTGGTCTGTGCTATTTGCAGTGCATTTCAGTAGCTGCAAGTGTTGATGGTATTTTCATTCACGTGTTTAGTCAGATATTGATGAATAAATTTTTACTATTTTCATCTCCATAAAATCT